TGCAGCACTGCAGGAAAGTTGGTTTCAGATGCTAGTAAATGATCCAACAAGCACTTAGTCTGAAGCACACTGATGCCACAGAATCACAGATACACAAAGAAAAAAAAAAGACCAAAGCTGATATGATCTGTTTTTATTCCACACATTCTGCTTCCTTGTCAAAGCCTGGCACCTTTATTTCAATGTAGGTGAAGCAGCTGCAGAATGCAAATAAACTCATTGGCTTCTCACTCCTCATGGATGCCTTGTTGGAGAATTGTGCCTCTAAGTAATCTGTTTGTTCAGTAAGAGCTGCAAAGAGCTTTACAAAAGAACAAGGTTTGTTTTCCAGATCACCAGCATCACAATCAGCCAACAGCTGAAGGAGTGTGTGTCTGTGTTATTGTGCTAAGTAAAGACCAAACACAACACCTGCTGCAGTCTTTTTACAAAGACAGAGAAACACTGGAGAGAGATACGTGTAATTAAGCTCCACATTATTCACAGTCATAACAAACTTTGTTTTATAGTGAACTTTTATGTGACCAGTAAGTTCCTTCTGACTGGAATGGACATAAACAAGTGACACAAGATAGTAAGACATTGTGTTAATGATGGTGATTATACATTTTAGCTATTTCTATGTTATTTTTTTTCCATTTTTATTAAATACTCTTTCTCAGTAATAAGTGGCAAAGCCTTTATTTTCCACCACAATAGTTCTATGATTGCTAACAAGCTTTCTGCACATCTGCACTTTGATGTTCTTCCACTCCTCTTTTACAAACAGGTCTCGGAAGTTTGAAAGTTCAACTTTGCCGTCACTCTGGTCTTCAGTTCCCTCCACAGATTCTTCTTGCAACATGCTGCTATTGTTTTCTGTTCACTCTATTTTCACCATTTTGGATCAGATCATTGTCTTGTTGGAAGTTCAGTGCTGCCCAAGGCCAGGTTTTTCTGCCTGATGTTTTCTTTCAGAATGCTAATTCAGTTCTCTTTTCCCACGATGCTTCTTGCTTTGACAAGGCCTGACTGTACTATTGGCTAAAAAAAGCTTTATGAACAGGTGGAGCCCTCCTTCTCATTGGAGACCAGCCTTGACCAGCTGGAGTGTCCACTTTAACATACTGGTATCAGAATTATTCCGTTTTATCAGGATGGCTTTCCTTAGATTATTCTTGGCCTCTACCATTCTTGTCAACACAGGGGTCACTTTTGCCTTCCTACCACAGCCTCTGAGATTATTTTTTTTGTGAAGTCCTCATACATTTAGATTTTGCTTTCCACTGTGGCTGCTGAAACACTTGTATCCGGTTACATAGTCTTTCTTCATGTTGTGGGCAGCCACAATGTGCAGTTCTCTCACAGTGGCAAATCCTCACAACAAGCTCTAAGCTCTTCGGTTTCAGCCATGACTTGACTAATAACTAATAACTGACTACAGCAGTACTACATTAGCTGCTTCGGTTGACAGTGTAATGAACAAACTAGGAGGCAGCTCTTGGTTGTTACGCACCACATATCTGCCAGTCAGCTGCAGGTCTCAGCTCTTCTGAATCAAGGTTGAAGACTTTTCTGTTTGCCTCCACTTTTCATGGAAATAATATTTTAAGCTGCACTGCAACGTTTTACTGTTGTTTAGCTTTTTTTTCTGTACTTTTCTCTTTTAACTGTGCTGATTTTGCTCTATGTTCCTGTTACAAATTATCCTGATGCTTTTGATGTTCTATGTAAAGCAGTTTGAATTATGTTGGTGTTATCATGTGCTCAGCACTGCAAGATTATTTGCAGAGAACATGGTAGAAATTAGGACGTGTAGAAGCTGCATTTTGTAGAAAATTTGCAACAATTGAATGAAATAATGAATAATTTTGGACGTAGTATTTTTCAGTTAAAATCATATCATGGCATCTCTGACGTAATGTCTCACTGTCTCTTGTTACTTGGTTATGTTGATTTTAGCCAGAAACAAACAAACAAAAAAACAACTATGTGTCAAATAAGAAGAGAATTTGGCAGGGGTAGAAACAAATTGGAGCTTAACTGTTCACTACGTGGCCCAAAGAATGTGGACACCTAAACACCCAAGCTTTCCACCAGATGCTGAACATTTCAGGGATTTGCTCCCTTTAGCCCAGTAGTGTTAGCTGATGAGGTCTGATTAACAGTAGATGTTCCAGTTTGTCTCCAGGCTGTTGGATGGAGTCTGGAGTTTGGAGTTCATTCATACCAGACATTATGGATGTGGCTTTGTGCACAGAGGTGTTGTAGTGAAATCAGAAAGCAACAAACATGAACTGTAGCACAGTGATCTGTGAGTATGTCACCCTGTAGTATTTACACTATGCAGTGCTTTTACTAAATTAATAGGCTATTATATGTCCATCCATCCATTATCTATACACCGTTTAATCCTCACTAGGGTCATAGGGGGCTGGAGTCTATCCCAGCTGACTCAGGGTGAAGGCAGGGGACACCCTGGACAGGTCACCAGTCTATCACAGGGCTGCACTTAGAGACAGACAACCAAGCACACTCACATCCACACCTACAGACAATTTAGAATCACCAATTAACCTCAACATGTTTTTGGACCGTGTGGGAGGAAGCCGGAGAACCCGGAGAGAACCCACGCTGCACGGGGAGAACAGCGTGGTGCCCCCACCGGGACGCGAACCAGCAACCTTCTTGTTGCGAGACAACAGTGCTACCAACTGCGCCACCCTGCAGCCCGCTATAATATGTTTTATAGCTAATTGGCGGACTATCACATTATACTTGGTTATAGTATTTTACGACTTTATATTTATATTTTGACCTGTCCAGGGTGTCCCCTGCCTTCACCCTAAGTTGGCTGGGATAGACTCCAGCCCCCCCGTGACCCTAGTGAGGATTAAGCGGTGTATAGATAATGGATGGATAGATGGATTTTCCACATTATATTTCTATACTAATACAAGCAAACACTAATATTATTACTTAAATAGATTATATTCTGGTATATGCGGTTCCACAGCCTGTAATAAGTGGTGTCGTATTACCCTTACGTGTACATTACTTCCTGACTTTGCTGTTGCTCAACTCTTACCCTTCACTTGAGACAGCAAACACAACACCGCTGCACAATTCTAATGATTTATTTTGTACTTCCGTGTATCTGCTCTTCCCCCTGTTCCCTCTATGTAAATCAATGAAAACTTCTTTTGTTCAGCCTTTTATATATACAGTTGAAACCAGAAGTTTACATACGCCATATAAAAAGACATATAACCCTTTTTTTTCTCACTATCTGGCATTAAATGTGACTAAACCTTTCCTGTTTTAGGTCAGTTAGGATTACCAAAATTATTTCTATTTGCTAAATGCCAGAATAATGAGAGAGAGAATTTTTTATTACTTTCTTTAAAGTCAGAAGTTTACACACATTTCCTTAGTATTTGATTGCATTGCCTTTAAACTGTATGACTTGGGTCAAATGTTTTTGGGTTTCCTTCCACAAGCTTCTCACAATAGTTTGATGAATTCTGGCCCATTCCTCCTGACAGAACTGATGGAACTGAGTCAGGTTTGTTGGCCGTCTTGCACCACATGCCTTTTCAGCTCTGCCCACTAATGTTCTCCAGGATTGAGATCAGGGCTTTATGATGGCCACTCCAAAACATTGACTTTGAAGCCACTTTGTAACTAATCTGGCGGCATGCTTCGGGTCATTGTCCATTTGAAGACCCATTTGCGCTACAGCTTTAACTTCTTGGCTGATGTCTTGAGATGTTGCTTCAATATTTCCACATAATGTTCTTTCCTCATGATTCCATCTATTGTGTGACGTGAATCAGTTCCTCCTGCAGCAGAACAGCCCCACAACATAATGCTGCCACCCCCGTACCTCACAGTTGGGATGATGTTCTCAGAATTGCAAGCTTCCTCCTTTTTCCTCCAAATGTAACGATGGTTATTATGGCCAAACAGTTTACTTTTAGTTTCATCAGACCACAGGACATGTCTCCAGAAATTAAGGTCTTTGTCCCTGTGTGCATTTGCAAACTGTAATCTGGCTTTTTTATGTTTCTTTTGAAATAATGTCTTCTTCCTCTCAGAGTAGCTTTTCAGTCCATGTTGGTTCAGGACGTGTTTCACTGTGGATAATGACTCTCTGACCAGCTTCAACAGCATCTTCACAAGGTCTTTTGCTTTTGTTCTGGGGTTGATACGCAAATTTCTCAACAAAACACTTCATTTCTGGGACACAGAACCCATCTCCTTCCTGAGCAGTATGATGGCTGGACATCCCCATAGTGTTTATACTTGAGTATAATTGAACAGATGAAAGAGGAATTCAAACAAACATAAGTGAAAATGTTCACATTTGCTGGAGTTCTTCAGACCTGCCCTTGGCCTGGTCATGGAAACACAAAATAACTGTATTTTAAATTCTCCCAAGTGTCTCTGATTCATCGAGGGAAACGTTGCCTCAGAGTCAGAGTAAAGCTGCTCCTGACTAACGTTGGGGATGTTTAGGATGTGGAAATTAAAGGCTGAGGTTAAGAGGTTAAGAGTCTCCTTCATTAAGAAAGTACAGTATATACTTAGAGCACTGGAATATAGAAAAAGAAGGAGATGAACAGCACTGCTCGGTCTGACTTTTACAAACCGAAAGGACAAAGTGAGTGCAGCAGACTGACGAGGAAGAAACCTGTTCAGCTGCTGCTCCCTACTGGTGGCTGGTAGAGTTAAACAATCAGCCAAAAGGTCATGTAGATTTAGAAGCTGATTAAAGAGCCCTTCTTATGCTCTCAGGGTTGTTTCCGTTTCCTTGTGTCGTGTGTTGTGGCTTTGTTGTGCATGTACAAGATCTGCAGATGCAATTTTGCGAAGGAGCAGAGCAGATTTTCACACAAGCAGAGGCCGTTTGAAAGAGAGAACAGGGTTTTAGATCTGCACAGTTTAACAAATTACTTGCTGCAAGGAGTGAAATAAAGTGGAGCAATGCATTATGTTGTGTGGGCAAAAACTCCAAACCGTTTTCCCATTTGAACATTTATTGCACAGCGATCATCATTCAGTTCAGTGCACATGATCAACAGCCTCATGACCAACAGGACAGCACACAACTACACATTCAAGTACCAGAGGAAATTAAAAAAAGGCATCTGCAAAATTAACTCATATTTTCTTACATTTTCTCTTTCAGTTCGCAATTTCACTGAGCAGTGAGGAATAAATGCAATTAAAAAGTCCATCTCAGAGCTTTTAGATGGGACTCATACATTTTAAATAGTGTTTTCCGTCACTTTTATCAGTTCACAACATTTTATCACTTTATTTAAAACTCACTTATTCTCATTATTGCCAGTTCAGGTGTTTATGCCTGCACTAGTCCTGTGTGCAACCCTCATCTCCTGTAAAACAAGATTAAGTTTTCAGGTCTAAATGATCCAGTAAAGGGAATTAACTATCTCTAATTTAACATGTAATTAGTTCTCCTTAAACACAACAAGATTCGAGTTAAATTTCAGTTCATCTGTTGTCGGAGCTGCTTCAGTTTGAAGCAGCTTGGAAACGAATCCCAGAGAGTTGGGATCAGGAACAGAAGGCGTGGTCCCTGATGATGACACAGCAGAGTCAAGTCACTAAAGTTGGCACTGGCCGCAAATCAGCTCGTCATCATCACTTAACTCCATCATGTTGTAAAAGGGAACAGAAGTTATGCCTCAGTCCCATCCAGAGATGATCATTCTAACTGTCGCAGGTGTTGATTTGTATGTGGCTTTTGTTATTCTGAAAACAAATCCATGAGTTGTGCTGTCGGAGCAAACAAAGCACAAGGTTCCTCATGTTAGGTATTTATCTTCACTCCAATCCCACAAACTCAGTTAGTTTCATGAAAACAGGCGTTTGAGCAGCTTTTCTGCAAATGAGAAAATCAAAAATATTCAACTTGGAGGTTTCTGAGATGCAGAGTTCAAACAATTTTCCTATTAGATGATGAAAAAAAACAATCTAAATATATCTCATATTCATTCAAACCATATATCAAGAAAAAATAGCTGCTCCTGTGTTTTTTATCTTGAATTAAACTTCAGTGAATTAAGTTTTTTTGCATGTGACTGTCTTTGGAGGAATATTCACCAGCACGTCTCAGTGATATTGGTTTCAGAGCAGCTTCAGAGCACCAATGCACAGGAACAAAATCTGCAGGCTTTCTGCTGCTTTATAATCACTTTCACATCGTTGTTGAACTGGCCAGCTACAACGTCACTGTTTTGGCTGCTTGTATTTAATGATGCACAATGACATCGGCGTCACCATCAGTCGACGTAAAGCAAGTGAAACATCAGCTCAAAAAGACCACCGACAGACCGACAACACCTGTCAGGGGAAACATTTACAGCTTTGTTTGTGGACTTTACATTACAATAAATATGGAATGTCTTAATTTTAAATGTTTGCTAAGTGAGTGTGTACATTTTAAAAAGCTTATGGCCACCACAAAAAGAGCAGGCACAATTACATGTCAATAGGAGATCTGGTGTTTTCTGCAATTAGACGAGAAAATATGTGCATCTCTTTGTTTTTAGCCAAAATGGGCTACAACATATTGGCACATCTAAATTCTAATATTCCAGCATTGAGCAGCTAAAGGGATAATTATTTCCCTGAAGACCAAAAGTAGAGCGAACAGAGGTTAAACATCAGCCTTACAGCCTCAGGTGGCTGGAAACACGGCTCCAAATCAATTATGTCGCCTCTGAGCTGCTTAAAAGTTCATCACATCAACTTACAACACCTCAGTGATGTTTCCTCTGCCCTCAATTCTCCAAAAAAATCAGTTATTGCAGGTTTAAGGCAGGTCTTGAATCTGTTTTTAAGAGGCACCAAGGCTCTGAGTAAGTCGTTTGACAATGTTGGAGGAACAAAACAGGCAACCTGAAGACATGACTTTGGGCATTTTGAACTGTAAGCTTTGACAATTTCTAAAGAAAATAATGAAAGTATTGAACAGATGCAGCCCTTAAGTTACCTGATGAACATACTGGCTTCCAGTGAGTGTCATGTTTGACAATTTGGGGAAAAATACGCAGCTATGGTGAAGGACAAGAAGTGAGAAGAAGAAGGAATATTTCAGTCAGTGTAGTTCTGTGCTTCATTAGTGCAGTAAAATGCAGAAGCAGGTAATAAAACCCACATCAACCCCTGTAGCCTGTTTATTACTCTGTCTTCTGCACTGATTTGTTTAGATAATTACACCCAGTGCCTGACAGCGTACAGTGAATGTGAACAGACTGGAGTCTAACCAGTTCCTCTGAGCAGCAGGTAGACAGCAGACACAGTGATGGCGGTGGCCGTGTAGGTAAACACTGCGTTATAAATCGTGTTTGTCCTGATTCGTTCTCCCAGTGTCCTCTGGGTCTCCTCCAGACTCCTCAGCACTGCCTCAGGCTCCAGCTGGTCCCCTCTCTCTGGTCTCTCTGGTCTCTCTGGTCTCTCAAACTGTAGTTCAGCAGGTGGTGTTTCACTCTGCGGCCTGCTCTCCAGAAGCTTCCTCACTGTTAACAATTCACTCTCCACTCTACCAAGCCCTTGCTCCAGCTGTCCCATTTGTGGCGGGAGGGCCTCCAGGAGGGACTCGGTCCTTCGGCTGCCAATGTGGATGTCTTTGAGAGCTGAAAGAGGCACAGTGGGTGAATCTGAAGTCGATCCTCCTTTGTCCTTCAGGACGGTGTTCCTCTGCGTGAAGGCGTCACTCAGGGCGACTCTGAGGCTGTCGATGAGCGTTCGCAGCTCGTCCTGTTGAGAGCGATGGTTCCCAGCCTGGACTCTGAGGGCCTCCTGCAGGCTTTCTGGACCTTTCTGGGCCTCCAGCAGCAGACTTTTCAGCTCCTACAGATGAGAGGAGTGAACATAAATAAGCTGAAACAGAGGGCAGTGACGGAGAAAAGCAACTTATGTGAGATATTGAGTTACAAGACAGACAACAAACAGCATTAAGAACTGTAATTTTATGGGACTTTCTCTTTTTCATTTTCAGATTATTGTGTATTTTTGAAATGTACAAAAATAATAATAAAAGCAAAAAATTATTTAGTAACATTTAAAACCTGTATCTTTGAAAAACTATAAAATGTCCCTTTTAAAAAAAATGTCATAACAAGATTGCTAAAATACATTCTCACATTTCACAGATATTTCCTTTTCACTTAAGAGATGAAGTTGTTAATTCAATTTGAATATTGTAAATATTTTTCTAAAATTCAATACAATTATTGATAATTAACACATAAAATATAATGGTTCTGTAATGTTTTGCTATAACAGAGACATCTCAAATAAATATCAAAGTTCTCACAACAAAACTGTAGAATGAATGTATTTTCATCAGTGTTGACCATGGAGAAGCATTGGGAATCTAAAGCAAAGTTTTTTGTTACACATATAATTTAACATTATTTCTATTTATTGATTTATGCCATTATATGTCATTATTATACATCATGGGTAAACACATGGTAAATTTAGGCCAGAAACTATATTTTGATTATGGAAGTGTACTGTGTTTCTAAAGGATGGTTACTTATTGTTAGCATGCTGACATACTGATGTTTAGCAGGTGAATATTTTCCATCTCAGGTCAGCACATCAGCATGCTAAAATAACACTTTACACAAAGTCCTGCTGAGGCTACAGATTTGTTTTGCTGGTATTCAGTCATAAAACAAAGTATAGGAAAACTATAAATGTTGACTTAATGATGGGTGAAAAGTGAGAACCAACAGTTGCTGAGAAGTGGTGGAGCAACCAACCAGCCGACAGCTTGAAGCACTGCTAAAAATCATTCATTTGATTTATTTTTTTAAATGTAAAGATTTATTTAAATCAAAATACAATCCTTATGTCAAAATGTTATTAAATCATACCAAGACAACCTCTCTGAGGGCATCAAGCACGCATTTTAGTTAGTATTTTAATTCAAAAGGTTCCAATTACTACCGAAAGAAGAAGTAATTTAATCCAACTAAATGTTTGGTGGACTTCACAGGAAGTTTGACAATCGGCTGTTTCACAAATTAACTGTTAATAGATCAACTGTTTAACTCATCTACCAGGCAAACAGGTCAACTATTCTCTGGTTTCTGGTTCTTCAATGTGAATATTCAAGGTTCATGTCTGTTTTCTTTTTGTTGTTTCTTTAACTGAATACCTTTTACAAATCTTTTATCCTTTGGACAGCTGGTTGAACAAAACCAGCAATTTGATGACAATAAAATCAAAGCCAAGAGAAATTATTGTTACAAACTAGAATTTTGCAGCAAGTTTTATTCCTAGAAGACTAAACAATTGATTTCTGTGGTGTTCACAGTTTTTTTAATAATTTCAGCAAGAAAATGGTATCCTGTGCTTTCAGTGAAGGTGACAGCAGAGCTCTTAGTCAGCAGTGAGGGGAGCTCCACTGTTAAAAACTGCAGATTCAGTCACTGAACGTTATTCACTATCGTCACTTCAGATTGATAATGTGGTGTAAAACACAGGTTTGTACATACACTCAGCACCTGGAGTGCACACCAACCTGCTTTAGTTTAACCCAACATAAAACTACTGAGCACAGGCTGAAGCGTCTCTCCTCACCTGCAGGCGGACACGGTTAATGTACGTTGATCCCATAACCCCGATCAGGGCTCCGAGCACCGAGCCGATGATGGACCAGTTCTTGGTGCGTTCAGCTCTTGTCCTCTCCTTCTCGTGGCTCTCCCTGACGGCTGCCGAAAACAAGGCAAACTTCTCCCTCTCTGAACCCTCTGCGTTCTCATACGTAGTCCGGAGACGACGCTCCTCCTGTGGTCGGGACAGATGGGCGTTTTGTTATTTAATCTGCTGATCTGGCAATACATAAACTGGTACTTTAACAGAAATCGAGTAAACTAGTTACTATAGTTATAATTATGTCATTGCAAATAATCATAATTCTAATTGAATGATTACTTAATACTGTGGTTAAGTCTTGTTATCATTCTGCATAATAAATTAACGTCCACCTCTTCTGACATTACGAGTATTTTATAACGCTAACCTGCAGCAGTTTGTGCTCCAGCGTAGCCAGTTCCAGGTAGTGAGCCTCCTCCCTGGAGACTCTGTCCAGCCGGTCCCTGACCTCCTTCAGCCTGCCCTGCATGGCCTCCAGGCTGCCATGAGCCTCACGCACCATCCCTCTGGTCACCATGAATGCTGCTTCAGCCTGGAAGAAACATGTCTGTCATCCAGCAGCACCCTCCCAGACCTCCACTAAGACTTGCTGATGCCTAAAAGCACCTGATACTTAGTGGAAAATATTAATTTTTATTGAAGGTTTTGATTCAACTTTATGTTGATTTTGGAAGCTCTAATTTGCAGTGCTGTTAAATTGTATTCTGTCCCTTACAAATGTGTAAGGTGAGGTTCTTCCTACTGTCTGCTGACCTCTGTGACCTTTGTCTGAGCCTCACGGACGTCGTTCAGCCCCACAAACTCCTCGTATCTCTCCCACCAGTAGTTGACTGTGGCGGTGGCTGTCTGAGCCGACCTCTGACTCCACTGCCGCCCCACCTCACCAGCATGCTGCAAGAGGGAGAGCAGAGAATAAAAAGGTAGCTGTGTTAAGATTTGTTTTCCAATAAGTTCCAATAAGTCAGCAGATGTCAAAATGTTGGACATATTGTTTGTGGTGTGGAAAATTGTTAGGAATATTCAGAAGGCAGATTTTCTGTACCTGTAAGGCTGCAAGTGAGCGCTCCTTCAGCACCTCAGCTCCTCCCTTCCCATCAGGAGAGGAGGGGTTAGTGGGAGGCGGCGAGCCAGGCTGATGGTGAGCGCTGTAGGTTCGAACCGGAGTGATTCTTCTGGGCAGGCAGAGGCGGGACAGACAGCACGAGCCCTGAGCCCAGAGATGGATAGCAGCTCCTCTGTACCTAAAGCACAAACCACACCGTTAATCATCAGCTCATCAATCAGCAGGGGCCATGAGCAACCGTGAAATCTCACCCCTGGAGCCCCCCCCCCAGATCTGACAGGTGAAGTTCATTCATTGAAACTCCTTTGTCCACCTTGTACTGGATTCAACTACAGTGTTTGAGTGTAAGTGAAATCAGCACTGATACACATAACAACTGTGTGGAGCAGCATTCGCAAAAGACAGTTTGCGTGTGTTTAGTTGACAGACGCACACACCCAGACTTAAAAACAACAAAAGTAGCTGAAGTTGAGTTTGTTGCTTTCAGCTTTTTGTAGGAGTCTTTCCTCTGATTTATTAAATATGTGCAGCATCAAACAGCTGCAGGCTCACAAGTGTTATCAAAGGAGAGAGCTGTGCACATTTATGCACAACACAACACAGCAGTAACTTCAAAAACTACCAGTTAGATCTGTCACATGGACAGAATGTTGAATAAAGTATGGATGTGTTGTTTACTGGTAAACGTTTTCCCCTCAAATACTCTGCAGCATCTCTTCTCCAGAGCAACGCCGGTCCCCCAAAAACCTGAATGCTCCCTGTGCCTGTATTGGTCTATGTGCATAATACATTTAGTAACATTAACTGTAAAACATGAACCAAACGCCATCTCCCTAATCTCATATTGACATAGTTTTTAACTGACCAACTAACTATTCACTACGACAGCATAGGAAAATATTCTGACAGTCAGTTATGGCTTATGTTTATTTTTTTTCAGTATCCTCACATCCCAATAAAAAAAAAAAAAATTAAAGTTGCCCCAAGCTTCAGTGTAAAAGTACCTCATTGAGAAGGGAAGCAGTCCGACGTGCAGCTTAGAAACAGTCAGAGTTTCACCGCCACTACAGCCACAGAGCAAACACTGGAACAGGCATCTGTGAGGAAAACAATAAGGGAATTAAATTGGGTCAACTATCATCTGTATCCAGCTTTTTAACTATTTTTGATACAACTTCAGTTTCAAATTAAAAGAGAACAAGTCCTACAAGTTCTATAAGCCTGATCATTTAGGTGCTGCAATGCTACAATTCTACAAAATTTTATTTAGCAGAAGCTTTTATCCAAAGCGACGTACATCTGAGAGCAGATACAACACAAACAAAGAGCTAGTCAGGAGAAAACAACCTGGATAAGTGCCACAGAACAAGTTCAAGTGTGACAGGGCGTTGATGCCAATAGCAGGCTGTGTGGGAGGTGATAGGAATTCTTTTTTCTCTCCAGTCTATTCAAGTCAAAGCAACTATTAGGTTCGAATACAGAGCAAAGTTAACCCAGATATGTATTTGTGAAAGCAGTTCACAAGGAGAAGTTACAGACATTTTTTAGTTTCACTATTGGCTAACTTCCTAAACACATCCAACTGCTGCTACATGTATACACCACAAGAAAAAACTATCAATATGTGTAATGTACATTCAGCATAATAGGTCATTTCAATACATGACTGTCCTTATCAAAAGCAAACTACGAATATACATACTGACTGATACATCATATGAACAGCCACAGAGACTGGAGGAGCACACAGTTTACAGCGACTTATTTGGTCAAATTAAAGCCCAATTTTTTCTTCAAGGTTAGCTGCATCATTCCCAACTGGCTAACTTTTAGCTCCACGTTGCTAACAGTAAGCGGCTAATTGACTTTTCATTCATGTAAAACTGAAGAATCCTGTCATAGTTTCACTCCCAACCACAAAATATCAAGATTAATATACCTGTTTTCTTCAATGTCTTGCGAGCACACATGTCACACGGATTAAGTTTCCTAACTAGTTGTCATCCTGATGTCAAATGAAACAGCTAACAGGGGTTTTCGTTCCGGCATATACTGGTCGTCCTGTTTCCGGGTTAGAGTTCGCCGGGGTCCTAGCAGCGCGGATAAGATAGACAGCAGGCTGTGTTTGCTACGAATTTATTTCTTTCCTTTTAGTCTTGATAACCAGCTTTAAATATGTCTGGAAGAGAAGGTGAGATGTCGTTTTATCTGAGGGTCAACTGAAAATGTAAAAATACTGATTTCAACAGCGTAACAAAACTGAACGTGCCGTGTTTCTCCGGGTGGATTAGCTAGCTGCTGCTAACGACGGCTAAAGCGCGAGCCCGACGACGTTTGTCGTTTTTCACCAAACTACAGTGTAAATCTGCCATATTACCGTTTCTTCGATGTGAGACGATTTATACATAAAATATACAAAATATTTAGATCGTAGACGATTCACTATCATCGTTTGGGACATTCGGGTAATGAATTACCTTCCTACTAACAGATAGTTTACTTAAAATTTGAAAGTCATCTCTCCATGCAATAAACAGGCGGATTAATGCAAGATAATTTTAACATTTGAATCTGTCGGAGGTAGCATAGGCTGTAGGTTGCACTGGATACATGCTCAAATGAAGAACACGTCCTCGTATAAGTCAGTTTAGTGGATTGCAATCAGGCCCTGTGAGCTCAACTAACCATTTAATTAACCAACAGGCACGTTCAGTATCTCTTTACAAATCAGATTTCCTAACAGACAGTGATTGATCACTATATTTACACTTTTGCTTTTCTTAGGAGGCAAAAAGAAACCACTGAAGGCACCCAAGAAACAAAGTAAGGAAATGGATGAGGTGAGTGTCTGTCCTGTTGGACTTTCTGGTTGTTTCCACAGTGAGTTATTATGGTGATTATTTTGTTGGCAAGTGATGATAAATGCATCCCATTCACGACTCTTCAGAACCCAATGTGTTGAATATCTGTTGCAAAAGAAAGATGAAAATGGCCTGATGCATGTATTTCTTGCTGTTCTGGCTCTTGAAACCTTTGTTATTCATTTTATTCGGGAAGGGGCAGGACTAGTTGTCGATAAATGTTAGTTGCAGCCTGAACTGAAGTCAAAGATAAGATAGAAGTCAGGATTGTAAACTGTGTGTGTGTCTCCAGGATGATGTGGCCTTCAAGCAAAAGCAAAAGGAAGAACAGAAGGCCATGGAGGCACTGAAGGCCAAAGCATCAGGGAAAGGACCTCTAGGTAAGACCAGAAAACATATACATTTATATATGTGTCCTCTAAAGGAAAAGTTCCACATGCTTCTTAGGTTCAAACATTGAAAGAGATCAGCAGCATTAGGCTGTGTGAAAGGGCTTAACAGTAGTAGTGCTGTGGAGTAGGTTTTTATTCATAGTTTGCCATTAGATTTCACCTGTGCATCACCAAAGCTAGACAAGGGTATCGTATATTTAAACGCCCCACAGCAGTTTCATTTCACACATGATGGTGTACATGCTTGTAAAACTCTAGCTGCAGCTAGGATACTTACTTTTCCTCATCACATTTTTGTATTTAATTCAGTGAAGGCAGAAGGTCTGCAGTGGAGATGTCACCACTCGCTATTACAGAAAAAGACAAGGTTTCTGAAATTCTAAGCCTATTGGACAAAACACACGCAGTTAAAACTGACTCATTACATTACTTGTTGTCTTCACATGCTTGTTTCATAGCGCCTGTATTTTCTGACCTTTGTGACTGTTCTTTCCTTTCCATCTTGATAACCAGATTGAAATATGTCTGGAAGAGTGTGTCAAAAGTTCCAGGACTGGTGTCACAAAAGATATATTTCAAACCCAAACCGCAAACTACGAGTTTTCCCCTTCAAAGTAATCGCCCTGGAGTGAGACTTGGAGACTATGCGACTCTTAACACACACACACAGACATGCAAACACTTAATTTAGATTTGCCTTCTCCTGACACATTCACACTGATAACCTTTGAACACACACTGTCATAGACAGTACTGGATTACTTGTTGAATGGCCTAGACTTGCTGGTTTCTATTCCATATAAAACAGACAAAACCACCAAGTGAAATAGACTGATTGACATTGTGTACAACACAGAGATCCTCATTGTGACACACTTGTGTCTCCCTTCCCAATTTAATGGCAAATGCAAGAGGGGATTTAGAGGATAAGCATGAATAAGCATAAGAGATGTTTAAGAGACCAACTGTGATCTCAGCTCTCTGCAGCCATTGAACTTTTTCCCACATGCTTTTATATACATATCCTCTGTTTCATGTCGTCAAGCAATGAACACAGAGCAACGAACAAACCTGAAGTTTCTGGTCCGGTTGGGGAAATCTCCATCAGAAGCACTGGAATTGCTGCAGCAAGTGTACGGAGATGAGACGATGTCACGCTCACGTGTTTTTGAGTGGTGCAAGAGGTTTAAAGAGGGACGCGAGGATGTGGAAGACGACCCCAGGAGTGGAAGACCTTCAACGAGCAGGACTGAGGCCAACGTTGAGCGCGTCAGGCAGATGGTGTGTGGCGATCGTCGGTTGACTGTTCGACTGATCGCAAACGAGCTGGGCATGAACCGGGACAACGTCTGGAAGATTATCACTGAAGATTTGGGCATGCGGAAAGTGCGTTAGACTGCATAAAAAGTGCGTTGGACTCCAGGAGGATTACATCGAAGGGGAAAACTTGTAGTTTGGATTCAAAATATATCTTTTGTGACATCAGTCTTGGAACTTTTCTGACACACCTTGTATCAGCTTTATGCATGTTCCATATAGAAAACCTTTAAAATGTTTACCTGAAGGTTTGTAGCTTTAGCAATCCAAGTAGACAATCTAAGTTGGATTTCCATATTGTGTGGGAGAAGACAGGCAGAACAGAGCTGCTCTGCACTTTGACTGAATCTAACACATATTTAAGTGTTCAGCTTCAGATGGAAACCTATGGAGCTCCTAAAGTGTCACAGCAGGATTTTTTTTTGGAGTGTTTTTGTTTCCTCGTTGTAACTTTTGCATCTCTCTGATCAATCTGAACAGTTGGTGTGTTGATCCAGTCCAGTGATTTTTACACTGCCAGTTTAGGGGACCACTGCAGTTTCTACAGAAATAAGACATGATATGACCACTGATGCATTTAATCCTCTTTATTAAAAAGTAGATCTCCAACAGTATCCAGCTGCTGACTGTGAGCAGAGCTGTAGCTGCTGTGATGGTGAATCTGTGACTGGATATACGTTTATTGTTCGTACTTTAGCTGCAGCAGTTCAGATGTCAGAAGATTCTCAGTCGTCCAGGTCATGGTTATTCTCGTAGTTTAATCGCAGCAACTGGACTTGCTTGAGTTCCTTGCAGACACTTCACCTCTCATCCAAGAAGCTTCATCAGTTTTGACTGAACAGATCTGATGAAGCCTCTTGGATGAGAGGTGAAACGTCTTCAACTATTAAAAATGAATGTTTCGCGGCCACAGTTGTAACAGTTCAAGCACAGCGATGACTACAGTCACAGTGAAAGCTGTGTCATCCCGAGTCTGCAGTCATCATCTGAGCCTGGGAACCAGCTTCTCTAGTTTTCTCTAAATTCAGTCATTTCAAAATCAGAGATTTTCAGAAAATAGCAGCTTTCATTGTGAGCACTGGATTCAAATGATCAGATCAGAGGTTTTCTTTAACACACAGCTTTTTGTTTCCTCTAGGTGGCACTGGCATCAAGAAATCGGGCAAGAAGTAAAATCTAAGTCTGACAATGGTATTTGTTCGCTCCCGGCTTCGCTTCCTGCATCTGTATGTTCAAAGACTCAAGTTTGTTTTGCTCTGTTAAACATGAACCCTGTCAAAGTTAAAGCCTGCCTCGGCGTTGAGTTCATCCAGCAGTTAAAAAGTACAAGAAATAAACATAACAATGTTCACACTATCAAGGACGGGAACATCTGTTGCTGGTCAGGCCCACTACACAAGCTATAGTTCCCTAATGATGCTTAATTAGAGGCTTCACACTGATTGGTCATATGCATTGACCAAAATCTTCAAATATACAAGCAAAGGTCTGCACTTTTACAAATAGAAGGTGTGTGGGGAAAAAAACTAACAAAACTGATTGTTGCTGTATTTTGGTTTGTGTCGATGTTCAACTGTTCGGAAACACAAATCTACCCAAGTTCTTATTTTGTTCAGATTGTTGTTGTATTGTAAAGAGGGAGATACAAATAAAGTTTTTTTTGTAATTACTGCTTGTTTTTTTTTTTTTTTCTTGGCCAGCTAAAAAAAAAAAGGCTCAAGAGGCTCAACTATCAAGGTACATTAAAGTAACAGCTGTAATCAAGCTTTTCATTTAAACCTTTTTAAATGCCTCATCTGTTTTAGTGTTCATTGAACCAAATCAGTTCTCACTGCTTTGGTTAAAGAACCAGGATTATTACAGAGTTTAGATAAACTCATTTTTGTGACCAGCAGCTTGTACTGTTCATAGTTCTGTTTAGAAGACACGCTAGACTTTATTTACATGTATGTGTGGAACATGTCCCCTGCCAACACTGTATACCTACATTTGATCTGTTTCCTTTAAGCCGAGCAGACATTTTCCTCATAGTTACACATTTGCAGATTGTTGCAGCTAGACTGACTTGATTTCATTAAGTATCAACAATCAAGCAGCAGAGTTATTAAATCAATATTAAGAATGAGAATGACTTCTTAAATGCCTGTTTGCAATTTCCCAGGTTCCCTTTTATGTGATCTCAGAATTAGTTATCATTTCTGTAGTTGTTGGTAAGCTCAGAAATGGCGTGCCTTTCTGTTTTCTGTATGGCACTGTGGCCAGCACTGTCGCTTCACAGCTACAAGGTCCTGGGTTTGAATCTGGGCCTGGGATCGTTCTGTGTGGAGTTAGCGTGTTCTCCCTGTGCAGCGTGGGTTCTCACTGGGTTCTCCAGTTTCCTCCCACAGTCCAAAAACATGTTGAGATTAATTGGTGATTCTAAATTGTCTTTAGGTGTGAATGTGAGTGTGCTTGGTTGTCTGTCTGCATGTGTGGCCCTGTGATAGACTGTCCAGGTTGTATCCTGCCTTCACACGAGTCAGCTGGGATAGACTCCAGCCTAGTGAGGATTAAGCGGTGTATAGAAGATGGATGGATGGACTCTGTTAGCAGTTTACAGTGTCTAAAAAGTATTGGGCCTCCTTGGAAGTTTCCTTCCACCGCTTTTTAACATTAAATTTGTGCTTTTTTGGCAAGAATTTACAATTAAAGACTCAATATCAAAGTGAAACCAGATTTCTACAACATAATTAAAAGTATATAATATATATAATATGCAAAATAAGTGCATGTACCTCCTTCACAACAGCATCAAGTCTCAATCAACCTTGTACATTTGGACGCTGCAATTTTACCCCATTCTTCTTTGCAAAACTGCTCGAGCTCTTTCAGGTTAACCAGAGATCACAAATGCCCATAAAGTCCAGCTGCAACATCTCAATTGGATTAAGGGGTGGGTGGGCTCTGACTTTGCCAATCCAGAACTTTCACCTTCATTTAAACCATTTCAGTGTAGCTTTGGCAGATTGTCCTCCAGAATTTCTCTATACTTTGCTGCATTTATTTTACCCTCTACCTTTATAAGCACTCTAGGGCCTGCTGCTGGGAAGCATCTCCACATCAAGATGCTTGAGATTTAATATGAGCATTTTTGACACTGACCAAAATTGCTCTATGCATCAAAAACCCTGGCTGCCAGTAAAAACGTCAAAGGCGACCGCTGTCTTCAACCTTTATTGCAAATGCGTTCAGCTTACTGCACAGCTGTGCACCTACAGTCAGGACAGAAGATCAACAACAACGTTTCTTCAGTGCTGCTCGTTCTCGACAAGTAGAAGATTACATTTGAAAAATAGCATTAAACTGATTTTAACCTCTTAGGAATAATTATTTGTGATTACAAAAACGTGAAATGTATTTTATACATTTAAAGATGACAGTGAAGACAACAGTTACACAAAATATCAGCAACAAATGAGCCGACTCCCAGAATTCCTTTCACCTTGTGTGCAGCATGGACGAAAAGGGCGGATAACATAATACCTTGATTCAGTCAAAAGTCAAAGTGAAAACAGAAAAGTATCCGTTTCTCTTAGTTCATATCGATGAAGGATATTTGCAGTTATCCAGAAAATCGAGTAAAAGCAGCCATCCAGGATGGACCCTGAGGTACAGTACAACAACCCCACAACGACTGTTGTCGCAGCTTCAAACAGTGAAACAGTCATTAGTGGTTCTGTGGGTAATGGGTTATGGTAGAGGTATATTGGTTTGCTCGCCATTTTCTTCAGATTAAACTGCATCAACACGGTTCATCTTGGCCATCTTCATCCGCAGGATCTGGATCTCCAGGCTGAGCTTCTCCCTCTCCAGCAACAGGTTTCCTCTTTTCAGCTCCAGCAGACCTCCGTCTATGGCCACGAGTCCTGACAACTGAGGCTGCTGTGGCTCCACTTCCATCACATCTGCAGAGGAATAAACACATGATCCACTGAGTCCTGCAGCTACAGCAGCTCAGGTTGGGATGGTAATGTTTTTTAAAGGGTGACTGTATCTTCAGTGCCAACTAGAAGCCTGTCCTCCAGGAAGTAGCCAACAGCCAGATGTGCTTTTTTGCTTTTGAAGGTTACGAAATGAGTGAAGTGACTCAATGTGATAAGAGCTGGTTGAGCTGTCTAAATGCTAAGGAAAGGAGCTTCAATGCTTTTTTTCCCTGTTTCCTCCTCTCTCAGCACTGTACCTCACATATTTTCTTGACCTCATGACATTTTCTATTGGGATCAAGAAAAACGAGGTTCTTAGCCCAGAAATAATCCAGCAAAAAATCACCCCCCAAACCCAACGTAAACCAACAGAGTCTGGCTGCTGTAGATGAACACTGCACTCACCAAAGAAGAAAAAATGTTTTTTAGCCACAAGAATGCTGTCGAATATTTAATGTGGTTCTCATAAATGCCAGACTGAGCCATGTGGTCACCACTACGTTTGTCACTTGTCTTAGGAAAGATTTTTGGAAGTTTGAACGTATACACATTTGAGGCAGAAAAACAAAGGTTATTTTAACCGTGTAAGCATTTTGTTTAATGATATATTTTAAATTCTGCCCATATTTTTGTGACTTTGTTATTTTTTCCAGCATATGATCATTATATCTTATTTAGAAGTGTCAATGCTGCATCTTTTGGAGGATGGCCACGTAAATCTCCAGCCCTCACTGGATAACTGATGAAGACATATATGGCACTGTCCCACTGAAATTTGAGTAATGGACCAATTATTTGCTCTGTTTGCCATTCACTTACATTATAAAGTGGACAAATCCAAGTGTGCATTCCTATTTCACTGCAAATACCCCCCAGTTCTGGTGGTTCTACAGGTCAGAGGTCACAGTTGTTTAACTCTGACCAAGCAGATGTGCTCGGCTGAACAATTAAACCTCTGATGGACTGTAAATAGTTCATAACTGTAGCTTATATCTTGACACATAACGAACATTAATGTTTCTTTAATATTAGCATTAGAAATGGGCAAATGTGTCCTTTGATGGATCCAAGGGCTGAAAGATTTTCTTACATTCATTCATTTCCTTACATACATTAGGTTTACATTGAATGTAATTGAATTTTACTTCAGTTTTATTTGCCCATACCTTTAGGCTTCTTGTTGCGCCCCACAAAGAGGTTTTAGGCAGCACCAAAGGAAACGAACTGAGAATAAAAGCAGCAGTTCAATTTTTAAATCTGTTTTGTCAATTAGGGTTTCATTAACCCAAGCACAAAGGACATTTTTGTTAATCAAATGATCAAAAATAGCAGGAAAATGCATGTATTTCTGTCAAATAAGGCATCACAGACTCATTGGCTTTGCTGTTCGTGAACCAATCATGCTGACTGTGTTGCATAATCAGCCCCCAGAGGCCCAAAACAGCCTTCATGAAATCAACAACAACAACAAAATTCTGATTTTACGATTTTAAATAATAAAAGTAGCAGCATGTAGGTATAATTGTGCCAGTTACCCATATGTTCATCTGTTCTTTGATCTATGGACTTTAGCTCCACCTCCACAGGATAATGATCGCTCACTTTCAGGGCCTGGAAAATAAACAAACCAGATACATACATGCACACATTTACACAGTTATCAGAAAAGACACTTGTAGCGGGAGATGGTTCGACTTGTTTGAATTAACTCATTTATTGAGCTTGTAGTTCTGTTTCCTGCGGTTAAAAATGCAAAGCTGCTCAGCGCTGTCTTCTAATGATCAAAGGAAAATTGGCCAGATTTCAAAAACATTCCTGGTGGTTACTGATGGTCTCTGGAGGAATTTTAATGAGTACCATAACAACACTCTGGCTCCACCCTCAGGCAAACATCACTGCACACACGCAGTCTTGTTTTTATGTCGCCGAAAAATCCAACCATTAAGTTGGTCTTTTTATGGGACAAAAAATATAGAACATCCGCCTCATAATTTAATACATAAAACAACCGCCAGAGTTCCTGCTCACGTAAGAAATGCTTCTCTGAGGATGGCTACGTACATGAAACCTGTGTGGAGTAATGCATGTGCACATAATTCTCTGAGCAGATCCCCTACAGAGAGAACCCGTTTTAATTAATACCAAACTAAGATCAGACTTTAATGCTAAGCCTCTTGAAAACTACGCAATAATTAATGTCAGGCTTTGTGGAAAACATGAAAACAGGAACAGACCTGCTCCTCACTGAGTCCGTAAGCCGTCTGGAAGTTGAACGGTTTGGCAGAGTTTGGCACCATAGCCTGAAGCATGTCGTCTCCGTAGATCACTATCCTGAATAAAAGATATACCACATTCATTTTTAGTCACATTACCAGAGTTGGTTGAGATGCTCACATAGTGTCACTGGTTATATTTTACTTACTTCAGCAAAAAATAAATAAAAAATGGAAATGTTACAAAACAGTAACAATAAAAGTAAACAAGTGAAATGCACAGAGGCAAAGCACACAGCACTAAACAGAATAAAATAATTTTGCAACTGTTGCTCTTATTTTCAGGCAACATGAAGAAAAAGTTGCACATCTTTAAGAAAAAACACATTTACTTGCATTCTTGCAAAGAGTTCAGTACCACTCTTATATCCCCCCATTAAATGTGAGGCTACAGCCAGCATCTTAGTTCCATACCTCATTCTGATCAATTCAGTTGTGTTACTTATGCATAAGATTAACTTAGTTTCAAAAATGTTATTAAACTAGTTATGAATCACAATAAAGGGATTTGTTCACAACTTAAGGAAGCTTTTTCAAAATGTCTTTTTTTTTTTTGCACTGAAACATTGAGGCTGATTGAAGTTAGTTTCCTAGTTGTTGTCGTCTTCTTCCAGCGTGCTCTACCTGTCGTATGTGTGGTTGTTTCCGGTGCTGGCCGTGGTGTCGACGTCATCTCCAATCAGCCAGTGGAAGTTCGTGTCGCTACGGATACGGATGGTCTTCATGTCCTTCTTGGAAACGTACGAACCGTCTGCATTGAAGTCGCCCAGGATCATGATGTTCTGCAGCACAGAGGCAGCAGATCAGTAACACTCTGTCATTTCTCCACTTTTCAACATTTGTCCAACAACTTTTACTTTTAAATATGTATTTGTTAAATGAAACTGACTATTCAACTCATTTTATTCACTACATTTATTATTTATCAACAGCAACAACTATTTTAATGGTTTATCTGTTTCTTTTAGATATTTATTTTAGGCATTTATCAGTTACATCTCAAGTAATCTATTCACTACTTTTGGCTTTTTGCAGTATTTATCCAACAGCTACAACTATTTCAGCATATTATCCTTTACTATTATTTATCTAGTCAGCGATTACACCAACTATTTAAACTAATTTATCACTACTTTTAGCAGCTTTTTCAGTCTTTAGCCAGTCTTTTTAGTAAATGTTATTTTCAGCTGTCCTTTCCAACTATTTATCTGTTGCATTTGGCTGACAAGATTGTTAATGTTTATCCAAAAATGTAATTAATGTGCCTCTCTGCTGCCTCGTTTTCATATTTGCATATATATAAGTGCATACATAATCTTCTGTGTACAGCTGATTTTTTTCATCCAATGGTGATATTTTTTGACTTAGTTCAGCTTCTCCGCTTGTTGAGAAACATCGTATTAGACGAGGTTTTGTCACTGCTGCTGATGCTGGTCCTTACATCAGTCCTCCACTTCTTCTTCACATGATGGAAGACATCGTAGAGTTCGTCCAGCTCCTTGTCTGAGTCCTCTGGCTTGGTGTGAACTGGGATCAACACCAGGTCTTTCAGCACTGTGGTGGACACACACACACACACACACACAGACACACACACACACATGCTTTTATGTAGACATAGTTGCAGCTGAGAAGAAACCAGCAGCAGTTGTTCCCTGCTGCAAACTTTACTGTTAACAGATTACATCCACACTGAACCCCATGTTGTTTTTGTGTCTGTTTTAAAAACCTTTTCCAGGATTTTGCCCTTGTATGAAATGAAATGAAATGAAATGTGCACCACAAACATCTATTACCTGTATTGAGGCATCTGAATCTCAGGATGTAGGGATCTCTGGCGAAGACGTCTCCTCCTTCAGTCTCCTCATCATCAAACTGATAGGAGCCCACCAAGTCAACCAGATCGTCCCTGCACACACAAACATGTAAATCAATAACATATGTACTGAACTTGATTGAACAGTCTGACTGCAGCAGGAAGGAAGGACCTGCGGTATCTCTCCTTTAGACACCGCGGGTGAAGCAGTCTGTCGCTGAAGGAGCTGCCCAGTGATGTTACTGTTTCCTGCAGGAGGTGGGAAGTGTCCTCCATCCATCCATCCATCCATCCATTCTCTTCCGCTTATCCGGGGTCGGGTCGCGGGGGCAGCAAGCGGAGCAGGTCGTCCCAGACCTCCCTCCCCCCGGCGACGCTTTCCAGCTCTGCCTGGGGGATCCCGAGGCGTTCCA